CTTTTTACATTAAAATAATGCAATATTTTAGTTGCTATTAATTTCGCACGGAGGAGGTTATCAGTTCGTCGGAATTTTTATATTTTTTTTTATTTATGTATGTTACCGCATAACTTTGGACCAAGTTAACCGATTTCGATAATTCTTTTTGCATCGGAAAGGTAGTGTCTCAGAGGTGGTCCCATACCTACTAATCTAGTTTATATCCGATCATTGGATCAAGAAATATATATTTTTTTATATGAGAATTGAAGTCTGTTTTTTTTTTGGTAAAAATTACTTGTTTGTTGATTCTGATGCCATCTCGTATTTTTTCTGAAACTTTGGAGGCATTTCCTACAAATGTGAAAGTAACATTCGTAGGCCACATACCCAAAAAATTAAAAGTTATTAGGTAATACGAAGGGATATTCTGCCGAAATCTGCAATAAAATCTGCGCTTTGCTAACTTTAGTCCTACAATTGCCACGCCCATTAGTAGGGGTTTGTCGCCTTAAATAAAAATTTAGCCATACAAATATTATATCTGGATTGGTATTCTATCGGAATCCGCAATAAAATTTAAATTTATTTAAATTAAAAAACCCGATTTTGAACACCTTACTAAATATATCTCATCATAAGTTCTCGAAAACAAATTACAAAAAATTTTTGACACACAAAAAAAAACCGCTCGTCATAAAACAAAATATTTTAAAAACAATTCTTGAAAAACGTCCACTTTTTTGAACAATGTTTTTTTTATAAAGAATTAAGCAATGATTACGATGGTGTAATTTTAAATCCCTAATTTACTCGTCTTCACAATGAAATGCAACTTCAAAAAGCTTTAGGACAATATTGACCATCTTATATATACAACTGTTAAGCTCGTTTCTTTAACTTTAAAACGACGTTAGGGGAAGTCTCTACGATGAGCAGAATCCGAGATATAATGATTTGAAGAAGTACATGATTAGTAAGAATAACGAAAAATCAGAACTTTGACAGATCATACCTCCGAAGAAAAAAACAAGAAATAAACGAATTCCTCGAATACGTGTTAGCTTATTTCATATATAGAACCGATAAAAAAATTTGAAGCGAATCGGGGACATGATATTATTTTTTTTTTAAGAAATCGGTCCGGTTTAAAAAATTTGTTCCGATGAATTGATAAACTTCCATCATTTTTTGAAGTCGGCTAAGAATCATATAGATTAACGGTTTATTTAGGGCATTTCGTAATTTTTTAAGTTAATTTTATACTAGTTTTTGAGGCATTAGAATCCGAACCTTATAATAAGTGACCTCAAAAAAGGCATTACAATTTTTTATTCTGATCTATATTCATTATCTCCCACCTTTTCCAAAGAAAAATCAGTTCTGACGTTATTTTTGCCCCTCAGTAACAAAATTGTTGCTAGATATTTTCTTCATACCACTTACATATATTCCTCTCAATATTGTTTAGTCACAGCGTGCTCAGTGAAAAAACTTCTACTACAATGACAGCTAAAAATAAACGCAGTGACTTCTTTTCTTCATCGCACAGCTAAGCTGCTGTGCAATGTTAAAGTGCCACGATAGTAATTAAACTTTGCCGCTTTGAACTGAATTGCAGTCAGCCAACAATGCGTGGCCTTAGACCAGCTATGTGGCCATGTAATCGCGTAGTCACTGAGCCAGCCACCGCAACATCCAACTCACGGCGCGCAGACTCGCATTGTCTGCACATGCCTGTTTACATATTTTTCTTTGCATTCGCGCTTATTCTTCTTTCTTTCTATTTTTTCTTTTTTTTTTTCTTTTGGTATTTTCGCATACTCACAGTATTTGTTTTCATTTAAGTTAATAAATATTGGCAATGCGCGCTATTTGTGTGAATATTTGCATTGCAGTTGTTTGTTTGCATCTTTCATGTCATGCCATTAAAATCCCTTTCAAGCGCGCGCGTGTGTGTGTGTGTGTGTGTGTGTTTTGTAAGTGCTAGTCTGCAGCTTGCTTCTTACGTTATTTGTGAACAAACAATCGCTTGGTTGCAGCGACGGCCATATGCCATTCGCGCTTCATTGCAATTTTGCGAGTTTGTTGCTTAAGTCTTTCGTTTGTACTTTTGAATTGCGTTCAAGCGAGCAAAAATCGTAAGTGCTGCTATTTAGAGTTACCGTGAGTCGTTTCGTAGACTATTTCGGCACATCAATGTGCAACTTATTCTTGTGTGCGTGTGTGTATTGTGTTTGTATTGCCTCAAGCACAAAAATTCAATATTAAATTGACAATCAGCAACAACAGCGAAAACCAAATGACATTGCTCCGTCGGCTGCGAAAAAATATGCTTAACCGGCAACAGAAGCAGAAAATAGTAAACAGCTTCTACAACGTACAGCTTAAGCTGGAGCAATGAATTGTAATGGCGCGCCTTGAATTGCTTGCTCGCCAACGCTCGCTGCCACCTATGGTGCTATTAGCCAATTATGCGCTCGTTTGCTCGCTCGTCAAGCACGAAGCGGTGGTGGTGGTGGCGCTGCTGCTTCGCCACTCGTTATTTCACATTAAAGCGCGCCAGCTGATCAAAGCTTGACGAGCAACGACTTCCTTCTTCGCTACTCGCTTATGATGGTTATGCCAATGCCTGCTGAGCGCCGCTGCTGCCTGCTGAGATAGTGCTGCGCAAAACTGCTTCGGCTGCTGCGAATTTCACAGCTTCACCAACATTGCTAACTGCTGCTGCTACGTTGGCCCTCTGGCGCTGCTGTGCACTGGTTATTGGCACCTACAGTTTGCTAGCAGCCAGCCAGTCAGCCTCTAACCTACAGTCCGCTTGGAGACGTTTCAGTCTTCAATCTTCAGTTCGCCAGTACGCCAGTTTACCAGTCGTTACTCGCCGCCGCTATACATACATACATACATATATAGTAAGTCGACAGTTTGTTGTTCACTTGAAAAGTCTATGATTTTTATAGCCTGCTTTGTTGCTGGCTGCGGGGCTGCGGCCTCCAAAGTGGACTCTTCAGCGCTCTGAACGCTCATCATTTTGCCATTTCTTGTTCGGCTGGCAACGAAACCAAAAGTGATTGTTAAGTGCGCGCATAACCGTGAAGTGTGTCAGTGCCTGCTTGCCTGTCAATTCACTAGTCAGTCATCGTTCTGCCAATAGCGCGACCTGTACGCAGTTATATTGCCGTTAGTTTGGTATTTTTTGTGCTTTACACAATTTTTTTTCTTTAATCTCTATTGAGTGAGTGTTACCTTGGAATGCAAAGACCATTGGCGGCGAGAAGGTAGCAGCAGCAGCAACAGTTACACACAAAGCAATTGTGTTGTGATTTTTTTTTCGAATTTTTTGCCATTGGACTTTAAAATTTTCGGTTTGGTGCGCGATTTTTCTTACATTTTATTTCACAAAATTTCCACAACTTTAATTTTTGCTTTATTTTCCAACTGTGAGCGTGTGCAAAAGGCTAAACATAAACAGTTATTGAACGCTATTTAGTAAAAAAAAACACGATTGCCTTGCAGCAGCAGCAGATTTTGTGTGGCGTGTGCGCTTTGAAATTTTAATGCAATCAAAATCGACTCCAAATTTTTATAAGCTACATCCACACGTTTGCATAGCGCGCTAGCTGCACTAAAATCGAACAAATAAAATTGCATATTTGCTAACTAAAAAAAAAAAACAAAAAAAAGACAATTTTTGCATTCATAATTTTTTTTTAAGTGAAAAGTGAAAGTCGCAAAACTATTAAATAAAATATTTGACGGTTAAACAATACAATCAGCGGACAAATAGACGTACAAATAAATAATAAATAAATAAAAAAAACAAAGTACCGTTAAGTGTGCATGAACTCTAATATATACATATGTACATGTGTGTGGTTTTTTTGTTTGCATGAAAAAAATATAAAATCTTTACATTTTATTTTGCTTGCAACTGCAGGTGTTCACTTTCGATTGCGGCCCGTATTGATACGAATATTGAATATTGAACAGCGAAAGGAGTTGATCATCAAATATTCAGTGCACAAAATTTTAGAAAAATAAGCAAATATGCTGTTAAAAATGTAAGTATACCACTTGAATTGCATCGCAACATACATATATATATATATATATATAAGTGTGCATAAATATGTGTATATAAATTGCATAATAACGTGAGAAGGAATTTACTAATATATGTAAATATATCTTTACATAAAAAGTGGGGGTAACTTTCAACGAAAATAAAAGCTATAATTGTTCATCGTCAATATAACATTTTTTGCAGTGGAACCGCGTATCAGAGTAATTCAAAACCGAGTACGTGAGGTTGCCGAAATTTTCGGAGGAGATATTAAAAACTGTCTCATATCAAAGGGGATCTCTCTTTTATACAAGTAATTTTTAAACAAAAAATAAAACTGACTTCTGTTCTCATATAAAAATTTATGAGTACCGTTATTCTTTTCATAATCTAATGATCGGATGTGAACCAAATTAGTGTGGGATCAACTTTGAAGGATCACCTTTCCGACAAAGAAAAAGAATTAGCGAAATCGGTTGACGACGTTCAAAGTTATGCGGTAACATACATACAACAAGTAAGAAAGTCTAAGTTCGGGCGGAGCCGAACATTAAATACCCGGCGCAAGTATTAAATATATGTTTTCCACCTTTCCGAAAGCTACCGCTACATGATAAGCCGGGGTGTATA